GAGAGTGAAGTGCTGGTAACCTCTCCTGTCAAATAGATGACGACAGAAGATACTCGACCCAAGCCAAAACCATGTCACCCATTCCATAGATTGGGTATTTCACAGCGACTCTCTGTGTGCATATTGATAATCATAGGGGTCGTCTTGATACTCCTGGATAATCCTGGAAGAACACCACCACTGACCACCCATCAACAATGAAAGATCCACCAGAGTAACACCATTCACACAAGAGAGTAAAAAGAGAAAACACTGAAGCAACAAATGATTCTAAATGTTTAAATAACTATGGTGGTATTACTGTTGAATATATATTAGGTAAGACAATGTCATGGTTACACAGGTAATGACCCAAAATGCAGGCTCAGACGACGTTATGTGAGAAATAAGGATTTATTTTGCTGTGGGAGAAAAAGGGGAAGGAGAGGGTCAGATAATGAGATAGAGGAAATGGCTGAGGTAAAGCAGTGGAGCAGGCACAGAGTGTAGGCTGTCTGGATATGGCTGGTGGAGAGCAGGCAAGCAAGTAGCAGGAGGTGGACCTGAGCACAAGAGGATCGGTGGTTAGAGATCATTCCATAAATCAACAGGAAGCACAAAGAACAATAGTTGAAGTCGATCGGGACGTTAACTACCACGGTGGCTGAACAAACGATCTGACAAGGAGTAGGAGAAAGGCCAGGGTTTATATGCAGTCTATAGTAATGTGCTACCACTCTGAATAGAGTCAGAAGCACGTATATATAGAGCGATTATATACCTATAGTTATGTGCTTCCACTTTGAATACTCTGAGAAGCACGTATTTATAGTGATTTCACGCCTATAGTAATGTGCTACCACTCTGAATAGAGTCAGAAGCACGTATTTATAGCGATTTCACGCATATAGTAATGTGCTACCACTCTGAATAGTCAGAAGCACGTAGTTATAGCGATTTTATGTCTATAGTTATGTGCTATCACTAAATAGAGTCAGAAGCACGTATTTATAGCGATTTCATGTCTATAGTAATGTGCAACCACTCTAAATAGAATCAGAAGCACGTATTTACAGCAATTTCACGGCTATAGTAATGTGCTATCACTCTGAACACAAATGTCAGATATGTCTATACATTTGCGCTACGGGTAGGAAAAAACTTCAGCTATAGCTATAAATTTCTGCTACCGGCCAATGTGCGCATGCGCAGTTGACTCGCGGAGCAAAAAACTATAGGTAGGAGAAAACTTCAGAACACCTGAAAGGCAGAGTTCCCTCTAATACGGAGTTAACTAACACTAAGTTCTCCTGTTTGTTTGGTTTTTGTTATTTGTTTTTTCAAATAAACAACAGGGAGCCCAGATTTGTTCAAATGTGGCACATCACAGTAACTGTCAGTATTTTAGTTTTCAGGTCAAGGACCCCAAACCTGATTGAAGGTAAGAGTCGGAAACCTCCTATATATATGCTCAGTAAAATGGCCAAGTTACATGTGTAAACAAATCAAATTCTTTTTGTTAAACTAACCTTTCAACTGATACCAGTGTTAATGTTAATGCTATCTATCAATAGCATCATATTCAAGGGATTGAGTGGAATAGTTGAAATTACATTTTAAAGATATTCAAATGTGTTAATCATCATCGCTAAAATTCTGAGGAATATATATATATTGTTATATAAATATAAAATATATATATTCAAAAATGTAAGAAACTCACTTTGAATTTATCAGAACCAACTCTGCAGTACCTCTGCTGTTAAAGGACTTAGTTACAATCGTGGATTTGAGGATTCACAATATCATATATGGTCTATATGGTCCACTCAGCTCAGCACAAACAAATTGGATTATTTTTATTCAGCAACTCTAGTGTGTTTCCCATATTTGTCTTACTACAGTCACAGAGTAAAAGTGTGTTTTTGGAAATGCTTAAAGTGAGAGTAGTTAGATGGTGTACCATTTAAGGTCGATATCATGTTTTGTTCGCTACAGTATCAATTAATAGCTTCTATGCTACGATACTTAAGTATTTTTAAGATGAGAAGAAGTATCTTAAAGTTTTCTAAACATATGAGACATTTACATAACATTAAGTAAGAATGGTAAGTATCCCAGTCAACAAATTGTTAGGTTTAATTCAGCCTGTTTATAATAAATTAAAGTTTGCTGATTCGGGAGACTACATTCAAACAGTTATTTGAGTGACTCAGACTTGGATTGTAACTAAAAAAACCTTCTACCTTTGACTTTGGTATTATGCCAAGTAATACAACGGCTTTTCACTCAAGTCCTTCTAGTGGGCACATGGAGATTTCCACTGTCTCTCAGTTGATATGTTCACATGTTCCTTTCAACAATGTAGGTACCTCAAAAACTAAAAGTTGAGACAGGTAAGTCATAAACTGCTTCGACTGTCTTCGTTACACAATCAATCGTCCCGTATTGAGCCGTTTGAAAATGTCAGAACTGTAGGAAAAAGTTTTCATGGGGGATTTTGAACTTGGATGCAAAGTAATTCCTATTCAGAGAGCAACTTGGTCCATCTCAATGTAAATGAATGCAAAACTTTTCTCCTACAGCAAGATTTCTGCCTCCATGTTTGTCTTTGCCATTTCTGTGAACCCTGCCCCTATCCTGTTGTCTCATATATTGCTGAAAACAAGATGAAGCACCTTCATGTACCTGACAAAGGAATTCATTATCCTTTTTTTCCCCAGGAGGACACAGAAAGGAGTATTCACAAAAGTGTTTATGGTATGGCTTCGTTCCAAAAAACAGGAAGGTTGTGCAGGGATGTGTTAAAAAGGATGAGACATGTGACATAAATAAACGCCTTTGATTTCAGCTCAAACACAACAAATCTCCACCCACTTGACGGAAAAGTGTGAGGAAAAAGGCAGGAAAAACAGTTGCTGTTTTATTCGAGGTGTTTCAACAGAACTGACACAACCAATAAGCAAATATGCTGTGTTTTTGACATGTGTTTCCCATACCTAATTCTCAGGGAGAACAAGTGGCCATCTTCCTGGACTCCCCATTATTCTCGCACAAAAAAGTGAGAGAAGCCTGAGAAAAGTACACAAAAATACTATATAATATGTTTCCCAGACTTCCACCCAGCCAGTTTCATTGGTGGATTTCTCATTACTGCATTGTGGTAGCACTTTTTATATTTGGAATTACAAATTTGTTAGATTTGTTTGTGTTTTATTTATGTTTTTGTTTGTTCAGGAAAAAAGAATATTTGATCAATGTGATCCAATGTATCAAATATGATACAAATTGAAACTCATATATGGAAAATGATATTTGAATTTTTTTGGTTTGTTTGTTCAGAGGGACCAATAAAGGGTCCAAGTTAAAAAAAATTGAATTTTCTGTCAATTATTTAATGGTTTGGGCTTTACAGGGTTAATTTATCATACGGTCAAAAATTGCAACACCCCTGCTGATTAGAGTCGTGAACCCCAGGGAGCAACAGTCGGGCTCTGCTGTTCTTATGATAGGTGCACATGTTAGGAGCTCTGTCATTAATTGATGTGATTATATTAATTTTATCATTAACTGTACTGTGTTATTTACTTTATATTTTCAGCGTCAGACCTCTGTGTGTGTGTTGCTCTAAAATGGACTGACTGTTTTCACTTTTTATGTCAGAAATAAAAGATGACGTACCAAGCTGATAATTTTACCGCAATTATTTAACATAACGCAAAGAGAGTACGTTGCCATGGCAAATACATGTGAAATTTTTTGTAAGATTATTTTAACACTATGATTTCTGTAACGTTATACTTGAATATCAATAAAATTATTTATTACTTATTGTGTTAAGAAGTACCAGCTAAGATTTAGCTGAGAGCCAGATGCAGTTATCAAAAGAGCCATAGGTTCCCGACCCCTGGTTTAGAAAAAAAGCAAAATCCACTATTTGACAATTAAATATATCCAAAAACAACAAACACTGCAAAACAATCCCCAAACTGTATTTCAAGCCTGATATTGAACTAGTAATATAGTATTAATGTCCTTAAAATGTCTATAAAGATTCTCAGTCATCCAGGTCATGGTTAAGGTTGAAGAGTTCTGTTAGGCAACTGGACGTAAATTTTTCTAAAAGAAGACGTTTCAAATCTCATCAAAGAGGCTTCTTCAGTTCTAACTGGTGGTGGGGAGTACAGCAAATATATACTCTGGGTGTGAAAGAATAAAGCTACTTCAGCGACTCCCTGTTGGGTGGGGCCTTGGGGTCAACTGGGAAAGTGTAAACAGTCGTTAAGAGTCTGATAGGTCGTTGTGATCCTCATCAGGAAGGTCCGGTCCTTAAAATGTTTTCCTTCTACTTATAAAATCTACAGCTAAAATTTAACAATATTAGAATTGTCCAAATCTGACTGAAGTTAATCCTGGTGCAGTACCTTATTGTACTATTATAGTAGTATAGAAAACACATGCTGTCCTTGTTTGGAGAGACATTTAACCCAAAGACTCCTGTACACACACTGAAGTTCCAATTCAGTAAAGTAATAATGCCTTAGTG